GGTGGGGGAGGTGGTTTGCACTATGCCTCCTCGGCTCAGGACCAACTCATTGTTTAGGCAATCCATTTGGCCACCTTCTTCAGTGATTGTCACAGATCTAAGCTCAAATTCCCAGAAGTCTCTGGTGTGGTGGAAGTTCCCATTCCCACTTAACATGGAATGATTTAGGTTTAAAAGGCCCCCAATGTATGGAAGTAGCCATGGTGATGGCAGCAGTCAGTGGAAGCAGGGGAAGGAAGAACGTGGTCGAGATTTTTTTTCTGTGGTAATATCAGAATGTAATGGATCAAATTTTGCTCTGGTCTACCTTAAGGATAACTGCTTTGCTCACTATTGCTTCAGCCTGGTTTACCATGGTAATTCTGAGACCAAAATGTTCCTTAGCTATTTGGCAGCTGACCAGGACTCAGCATCTGAATATAGCTCGTGTATTTTAGACCAATGAACACGAAGCTTGACACAGATTGCTATTCTCCCCTTAAGTTCATTTTCATATCATCTTATGGAAGTAAGTTATAAAATATCAAAGACGGGTGACATACTCATTTTCTTATCTTGACTTCTGAGACTAGTCTAGCCTTACTTCACCACAGCATGCTCTTTCTAATACAGAAAATTGCAGCTTTCTGCTATGAGTTCCTCTCATCTGTTCTGACTACCTCTTGTTCTGGACACTGCTATTCATAATAGGGATCCTCTAATCTTGGTATCCTGACTTTGCAGGCTCAAATAAATCCCTTTATGGCGTGAAAAAAAAGAATTTCTAAGGAAATTGTATCTAGGAAATTATGATCACTCTCATTCACAATTTTCATCATTAAAGATGACATAAATTCTAAAATATTTGGGGTTTTTCTCATGAATAGGTAACTTCTAGTTCTTGGCCAGAAAATAATGACTGTAATGATATAATAATAGTAATGACAATCCTTTAACAGTGACCATACCCTAGAGCCAGAAAGCCTATGTTTAAATCTCAGGTGTACTATTTACTAGCTGTATGACCTAGGGCAAGTTAAATAACTTCTCTGTGCTTTTACTTAAAATCTGTAAAATAGAGTAATAATACGTATGTTACAATGGTGTTGTGGAAATTACATGGGCATGGGAAACTGCCTGATATATGGTAAGTGTTCAGTAAATGTTAACTATTGTTAACAGCTATTGAAGATGGGACATATGCTAATGTTACATGTTACAAATGGACTGTTTTATTTTTGGTGATGTAACGTCTTCCGAGGGGTTAAGAAAGATTTGGATCCTTTGTTGTCTGAATGTCTCTTGCTCCCATTTTTCTTTATACTGTGCCCATTAAATTTGGTCCAGTTAACTGCAAACACCTTGCTAATAAAGCCAAAATATTCTGTAATCAGCTCTGCTTTCCAAATTTCATGAGTATTCAGCTTTTCAGCCCAGAATACCGATTGTGTAAACAGTGCAATGAATTCTAACTCACTTTTGATTGCCATGATCTGAACCAAACACGAAACCTAGTTGATCCAAGATGATTTGGGCTTTGCAATTTTGTGCATTACGTGCTCTGCACACTCAAAACAGGAGTATCTTTGAATTTAACATATTTTCCTTTTCAGAAGACAAAAATTCTTTTAATTAAAAACATTTTTAAAAATTTCAGTATGTGTAATTGTTAACACCTGCTATGTGTTACCGGCAGATGTTTCTGACTTACCCAGGGGAACTGATATAATTATTCTATAAGCTTATTGGCATGGCATTTACCGAGATAGGAAACTTTCGCTGCTGATTTTGTATGCAGTATTTGGTATTTCTTTTCATCATTTCCCCAATTGCTGTTAATCCCTACTACCCTCCCCAACCAGGCCCACCAAATAGTTATAAAAATGGTCATGCCCATTTCAGTGTTTGTGAAAAGTTACTGAAATTAAATTATGTGTATTCTGAAGCATTGTAAATGTTACTTTTAAGTGTTTTAGCAGCTAATCCTTATAATGTTTAATATGGAAGTCTTACATGGTGATTATAAATGTAGAAGTGTAATAGGCAGATAGACAGACAGGAGCAGGGCAAGGGAGATGGGTTGGATACATAAGGTCACCAGGGCTGAAAGCCTCAGGTGCCTAGGAAGGGGCAAAACTGGGAAAACAAGGACCTGGCACCCATGGCAACCTTTCAAACCTTCTTTGTGGATTGGACCCCTGATCTTTCATATTGCTGGTCATACAGTTTAGCTCCCCTGACGTTTCCTCCCGAAAGATAACATCTAGGCCTCAGTGGTATTTCAGCTCAAAAAAAAAGGGGGGGGGCAGCAAAACCAGACAAGTGACACTGTGGCTGCCTCAGAACCAGCAGCAATGGCTAATGACCCCTGCCCTATTTCCGACCAATCAGTGGAGACCATGACCCTGAAAAAGCACACCTGGAAAGCTGATGAATATTTTATTGAAACCCTCCCTGAGACCTCCCTTAAGATTCCCACCTGCAAGAGAGAGAGATAAATACCCTCAACACAAAGTCCCAGTGCAAGCTCTCCCCCAGGGAGCACGCCTGTGCTATTCCTTTACCCCCTTTCTTCCCTTTAAGCCTGCAGTGGTTCTCAACCTTCCTAATGCCGCGACCCTTTAATACAGTTCCTCATGTTGTGGTGACCCCCGACCATAAAATTGTTTTCGTTGCTACTTCATAACTGTAATTTTGCTACCGTTATGAATCGTAATGTAAACATCTGATATGCAGGATGTATTTTCATTGTTACAAATGGAACATAATTAAAGCATAGTGATTAATCACAAAAACAATATGTAATTATATATGTGTTTTCTGATGGTTTTAGGCAACCCCTGTGAAAGGTTTTTCGACCCCCAAAGGGGTCGCGACCCACAGGTTGAGAACCGCTGCTAAGGGATCCCAGGAGACTTGCAACCAGGGAGTCATGGGCAGCATCAGCTCGTCCAGGGTTAACCTTCCGAACCTCTCTCCAAGGCCTCCCTTTCTCTGACTTCCCAGGGAGCCAAGCAGCCCACCTGGGCTCTCCTGAGGCTTCTCCTAAGCCTAAGCCCTTCCTTGTCTCACTGTCCTGAGTGTGCATTTGCTGTGGTCAATAAACTCTTGGTTGCTTTGCTGCACTTTGTCTCTTAATTGAAACCTTTCCTTCAAGAAGGCAAGAGCCGAGGTCTCATAGTCTCGCTGGTAGCAGAAGTATACCATTTGGATGGATAATACCCTTTTAATAACCTGGCTTCAAATGAAGCTATTGTAAAAATGAGAGTTTTCTTTAATTTTCTGACCATTTCTAAGGTCTTACAAGCAGTCGACTTTCAGAATTCTCCATTTATGAAACTAATCACACAATTACCTACAGGCATGTGTTAAATATGACACTGGTTTCAGCCAAATAATGGGCCAATTGCAAACAATGAAGGAAGAGAGGCAGCTCCATTTATAACCGCTGTTTCAGCAGAGCTCTTTTGTAATCAGAGTGATCTGAGGGTGACTCATTAATTAATTGATGTTCTTTTTTATTATGTGCTATTGAGTTAATGAGTAATTTGTGTGAGATAATTCTCTGAACACATTGATTACCTGAGATATTTTCTGGGCCTTTCAGAGCAATGACAAGCTGAATAGGAGGAAGATCGTATTTGCTTTTGTGTGCTCATTATCAGTAGGTTTGAGAGGAGTACAAATCAGTACAAAGACACCTTAAAGTCATCTGAGGTTCCAAGTACCATAAGTCTGCTCAGCAGGAGGTTGAGTGCTCTGGGCTAGACCTGTCACATAGTAGGTTCTCAATAAATGCTCCTTGAATTCATAGCTCTATTAAAACTTGGCTTTCTTTTACCTTAAATTGCATTAAAATCACATTTAAGAAATATCTATAACTAGAGGCCTGGTGTATGAATTCATGCACCCGTGGAGTCCCTTGGCCTGGCCCATGGGATTGGGCTGAAACCGGCTCTCTCATATCCCCCGAGGGGCCCCGGATTGTGAGAGGGCACAGGCCAGGATGAGGGACCTCACTGGTGCATAATCGGGGCCAGGGAGGGACACGGGAGGTTGGCCAGCTGAGGAGGGACCACGGGAGGGATCCAGGGCGTGTCCAGCCCATTTTGTTCAGTCCTGATCAGCTGGACCGATTGGCTGGACCCCAGCAGCAAGCTAACCTACCAGTTGGAGCGTCTGCCCCATGGTGGTCAGTGCACATCATAGAGACTGTTCGACCAGTCAACTGTCTACCCCCTGCACTGGTGGTCAGTGCATGTCATAGCGAGTGGTTGAGCAGCCTTAGCATCTCATTAGCATATTATGCTTTGATTGGTTGAAAAGCCAACCTGATGACAGACTTAGCATATTAGGCTTTTATTACATAGGATGGTGTTTTTAAGAAAAAGTAATCAAAAGGCTTTTGCTAAAACTGTATTCTGTGCTAATGGCCTATTACAGTAAACATGCAGATTGTTTCTGCAACTTACTGAAGTGAACCCTAAGCATGTTGAAACTGTATCATTTGTATGAAATTGTTTAAGTGACTATTCTAAGGGTGGTTTGCCTAAAAGGATAGTTAAAAGGAAGCCACTTGTATATTGTAGGTTTGACTGCAGATATAACCTTCAGCACCCAGTTTCAGGGAAGGCACACCATCTCATCCCTGAAAATGTAGGATTGAGTTGAGTTTTTTGCTTTAATTCATTGTACAGAAAAGAGAGGTTTTGAAATTTAGTCTGCCAACACAGTTGCTTTCAGAAAGATCACTTAAAATTTGTATGTATGTGCAAAATTATACCCAGTAATTGCTACCTTCATTTTGACAGCTTTATTTTCCCCACAAAAGTAAATAGCAGTAAACTACCTAGCTCAGAGATCTTAAGTATAATATCTGGAGAAAGCATTTGAGCTACTTTGTTTATGCTTATGATTTACCTTTTAAAAGCCAACATCCTTACATACTTTTTTCTTTTTTCATGCACTTAATGCATGCTTTCTAGATGTCATCTAGATTTTGCCAATTAAGAGCAATCAAATAGTGTCATACCCCTTTTATTAAAAACATAAATCCAAATATAAAAAAAATGAATGAAAGAATCCAGCAGATATTTATTAAGCAAGATGAAAGTGAAATTACAAACACAGGTCAGCTTTTAAACTCAGCCAGCATTCTGGTGAACTGGAGGTTCCTGGTCCTTCATCAGAGGCAGCCTATGCGTGGTGCACATTAGGAAGGGAGCTCTCCCTGCTTGAGAAATCAAAGCTCCATTGGAGGTGTCCTACTGGAGGCATCGGAAAACAAGCTAAGGGACACCAGGGCTACACAACACAAAGAGGAAAGTTGACAACAATTCAGGGACTTGGAAATAGTCAAGACAATTAGCTTAATACTTCAGGTCAAAAATGCTACTCTTTATGGGCAATTAGTTACAAAAGGGTCTATTTCTGTCTTGTTTCACAAATTCATAGGGATTAACGATAATCTAAGGAGATTAAGGCCTTAATCTTTAATCCAGGTGAGTAATTTCCTTCGCAGGAAAAGCATAAGAATTAATTCCCAAAGGATTATGCAAAATAAAAGGCAGTAAAAAACGTGGTTTGGTCTTTGGGTCCCAAGGATAGTTGAACAGTTTGTTCCCAGTTTACAGGTATTTTGACATATTGATCTTAACATATGCAAAACCAGTTAAATATTTAAAAGATCATTTGAAAAAGATACCGACAATTAAAACTGTACATCCACATGAATGTCAAGCAACTCTTAAAGGGGGCTATTGGGGCAGCAGTGTTATGAAAACCATTTCTCACTATTTCTCCTGCATCCATTTGTTGTTCTGTTTTTGTTTTGATGTTTTTAGTTTTGGCTATGCAAGTCTTTTCATGAAGCAAATGTAAGGCTCAAAGGCTAAAATAATAGTTATATTATGGGCCACAAATAGCTATTTTTAAAATTTTTTTTCTAGGTGTATCTTGAATTTGGGAGACATGTGACTTGAACACTCTTAACCATGAAGCATTTGTAAAAATACATATCACTTTTCACAGAATCATTTCCTTAAAAACGAGAGGCAATATCCAGATTTACATGCATGTCTATAATAAAGCTTTGTTTTTAAAACAACTCAAATCCACAGCAGCATTATTTGCAGCTTAATATTTTGGCCCCAAACCAAGAACTCAGGTATCACACTTAATTTTCATCTGCAATACATATATTGGCAGGACAAAATATGTATGTAAATAACACTGGGAAATATTGTTTCCTATACAAGTGATCAAGAAAAAAATAAAGAAAAAATAAAAACCACCGCACTAAATTTGCTCTAGTAAAAATAGGGTTCATTGTGCCTGCAAGGGATTAAATTGTTAACATGTAGTTTTATTACTAGGGAACAGAAGCAAAGAAGCAAAATGTGAGCAATCCAGAAGAGGGTGTTATAGACTCATTTTAATATCTTAAATTATAATCTAAATAATCAGTCTCCATAATTTCTGTTTCTAGAACATTTTCTTCTTCATCAGCTATCATGTAGGTAAGGAAATAATATTTCACCTTTAAAAAATGGAATGACAGATTTCAGCTTAAGTGTGATGTATACTGAGTGGGTAATTACAGAAAGCAAGAGTAAGACACATCAAACTTTAAAGTGTTCACTTTTAAACATTAAAATAAGTGGCATGTAATACAGAAAAATATATAATCACCAGTTCTCAGCTTTTTATCAATCCCTTTGTTTCTCTTCTTCTAGAAGATTCTATGAGCACTATGTTGCCCGATCAAAAGTAACCTCACTACTCAAATATCATCATAGCGTCAATGTGCATTATCATGATTTCAGTAGATTCACACTCAAATCCTTTTAGTGCCAGAAATTTATCAGGCCATAAGTTATTAAACACTCAGCTTTTATGGAGCGATCTGGGCAAAATTTGTACAAGAAATTTAATCATTTTAAGTTATCTTATAATCGTGTTAATACTTTTTTAAAGTAACCCTTTGGAAAAAATTTACATGATACCCAAAGGCACTAGTTCACATAAGGGGTGAATGGCTGAAAAAAACAAACAGCAAAACCGTAATATAGGTAAAGAGCGCGCACACACACACACACACACATAGAGGATATTAAAAGGATAACTGTTAAGCTTTAAAGGTATTCTAAAAGTGGCACTTTTCACGTTGGTATAAAATGAAAGTGCTTTAAGATGAAATTTTTATGCATTTTTTAAAGCTGATCTTAACCCCCTGAAAATAGGGGGTAGTAAAGAGAACACTGATAGACTAAATCATGGTGGCAATCATAGTGAATGTTGCTTAAAATGCTTTGTGTGTGTCTTTATTTTTTCGTTTTTTAATGTTGCTAGACTTGCTTTATCTATATGTGTATCATTCGTGAGATTTGCTCTTCAATTTTTTACTAGAAAGTTACAGCTCATTTAAAATAGCTGGTAGATACAGAAAGCATAAATATACAGTAAGTTTAAACACTGATTGTACTAAATGCAACAATACAAAGAAGCAAACAGAACACAAATGGTAACACAATAAAACTGTATTACATTTGTGCTTCAAATATTACAATACATTATATACAATAGTCCAAAATAAACATCTCATGCCAAGTGACACAAAAAGGAATAGCAAGCAAAAAAACCAGCAATATGTACATTATGTTTTTTCTTTAATAATAAACATTCAACTCTGAACTGGGGCAATATCACTACATACAGATGCAGTTCCCCTTTTATTTCATATATCCATCCTGCTTTCCTATATCTACGCTATTCAGTAGGTTCCCGTGTCAATTCTTATATACATGTGGAGCAAAAAAGATAAAAGAATGTAGTGCTTTGTGTTCTTAATAGGGTGATGTTGATAGATCAGCGAACCTGGGGTGCATAACCTTCTTTCATTAAACCTTCCTCGTAGTCCGTCTGGCAAAGGATCATGTTATTCTTGAGGAAAAATTTGTCTCCGACACAAAATCTGAAAATAAAAAAAAAAATCAAATGTGTTAAGACCATTTCACTCGGATCTATAGATCTGAAGATTTCTTTTCCTAATAATAATTTCACATGGTAATTCCCTGAAATAGAAAGCTTGGCTTCGAAAGTTCCCTTTGTTGTCAACAACTAAAGCATTGTACACGAACTTTGAAATCCAGCTTTATATATAAAAATCATAGGAACATTGAGGAAAATATATAGGACAGCAAAGGTGATTTTTATTTTTATTTTACCACATTAGAAAGAAAATGGAACTGATCTATAACATGGAACTGATCATTAAAACAAGAAGGAATGATAATATTTCACTGTTAGTGATTATGGAAGATTTCATGATTGGCCACTTATCCACTTTACAAAAAAATAAGTAAAGGCATTAAAATGAATCAAACAATTAGAAAATAGCCCATTTTAAAGCTTTCCATTTAAAACTTCCTTTTACTTTTTGTTATAAAAATGTGATTAAATTCTAGTAATTCGGAAGTGGTCATTCTGAAGTGAAAGTTGTTTTAGCACCAGACTCTGATGTTGGGCCATATTCCTTTGTTTGTAGCAAGTTTATCAACTATAAAATAGTAAATGTAATTTCTTGGAGCATTTTCAATTAAACCAAAGGGCATAACCTAAACAAACTTCTTAATATTGATGTGATACATAAACTAGTGCCCAGGAGCTAATTATTATTTTATTCAATAAAACAAAATAAGTGCTCTTTTTGTGTAATTTCCCCATGGTGACACTTTGGATACAATTAAGGTCAGAAATAAATGCTTGTGCAGTTTCTGGTACATTTAACAATAAAGTAACTCTGGGGAGATCTGTATATATTTTTAATTGTAACAATTTAACCTTCAAACAGCAGTGTCTGGTAGAGTTGACCCAGTAAAACTACTTGTAATTATACAAGTTGACCTCACTGACCTTTGATAGTGGTCTCTCTTTATCAGATAGTCTATTTCAAATGATGTTCAAGCAGAAATCTTAGTGGATAGATTAAACTGTGTACTGAAAGGCACCCTTTAATGTCTTGTGAAGTTGAGAGTTTAAATGAGGAGCAGTTGGACTGATTTACATTTGCAAAGATTGGAATGCTAGACAAACAGTGAACCTATTTATTTTCCAACTGGGTAGCTTTGGAAATTTATCCTTATTCTAGCTTAAGTAGATAGAGGGGAAAATGGTGTAATAAAAAAAGTAGATTGAAAAGAATTAGCTTTCCTCTTAAAGAAGATTGGTCTGTTTATTTGTGGAATTTACTTTTTTTTCCCCAGGATTACTGCCTGCTGATGATGTTGATTGAAAATACGGAGCATGTGCTGATCTTGAAATCCTGGAGTTGTGTGTGGTCAAGACTATTGGATGCAATGAACATTCAAGTTTGGATTTTAAGCACATCTTCTTTTTATTGCATACTGTAAACTTTAAATATGGTGTTTAAAAGTGGTGTTGGAATAGACCAGTTTTTGCAGATTATCTTGAGTACTAAGACATGTTGAAGAAAAGGACAGGCCTAACAGCCAATTTAAATATTTAGCTTTTGCCTGGCCATAGTGGCTCAGTGGTTGAGCATCAACCTATGACCCAGGAGGTCATGGTTCAGTTTCTGGGCACATGCCTGGGTTTTGGGCTCGATCTCCAGTGTGGAACGTACAGGACACAGCCAATCATTGATTCTCTCTCATCATTGATGTCTCTATCTCTCTCTCTCCCTCTCTCTGCCTCTCTGAAATTGATAAAAATGTATTTTAAAAATACTTAACTTTAGTGAGATTATATAAAATAGCATGAATAATATATGTGATTACTGTTCAAAATTTTTCAATTTATGTTAATATTGAAATTTATTTGAACTAAGAAGCCTATAATAAAATATCAAAAGTAAATAAATTCAGTAAAACACTCATGCTCCAGCTGATATTACTGAGGTTTTTTTCCTAAAAAACAACTAAATTGGAAATACTTTTTCAACTCTATATTGTCTGAAACTTTGCTTTACTTTTTCAATATAATTTTTAATAATCACCTTAATTCTATTCACTATTAAATAAAAACGTGGTTTTTTTGTCATGTCCTATCATGTCATTTTTTTACCTTCAGAGGCCTGGAGATTTAAATAATTTTTATTTGTAGATTCATAAACTCAGGTTAATCAGAGTGAGAAAAAAAGATATAAAGTACATTTCATACTTTTCCTGAGTTAGTTCTCTGAGGGTTAGATAAAACAGCTACATCACTGGATTGTAGGGATGTTATAATAAGAAATATATGAAAGGTAGAGAAGCATATTGCAAGGAATAGGGTCCAAATCTCAACTTTCCACTTAAGATATTAAGATGAAACTTCAGCTTTTCTTATCTCTAATATCAGTCACTTTTGCAAGTTTATGATAAAGAGTAGAAATGAAATATGTAAAGCTTTACCTCAATGGCTGAAATGTCGGTCATTATAATAGCCACTTCTCATAAAGTATTTACCAGGTGCTAACACGAAGCATGTATACATGTGATTACATTATTCCTTTCATCCAGCCTAGATTACAGATATTATCATTGACTTTTTAAAGATGAAAAACCGGAGGCTTCTTCCCAGAATTTAAATACCTGCCCCAGGTTTCCTAGGTAGGATGCATGTGGTACATGAAGGAAAGGAACCAGGTGTCTTCGGATTCAAGACCCATGCTCTTACCTGGAGGCAGTAAAGCATGAGGCTACAAAGTTATCTAGAATTGTTTTTTGGTGTTATAATTCTTCATTTTCATAATTTTTTTAAAAAGGCCTGCCTACCATTCGATGAGATGGTAGTATACATGGAATTCATCTGAAATATTCCTACCTGAATATTTAGTTACTAGTGTATTGTCAACTGGATAAAGTACATTTTATGTGCATTTCAATTTATCCTTAAAGGTCAGAATGAAATAGAGCATGGGTGAGGAATGTCACAATTATACATCTAACTCAAACAAAACAGCCTGGAAAGCTATGGTTAAAGGCAAATTATGGTTGGGATGCAATTAAAATCGGTACCCTCCTTTAAAATGTTTCAAATATAAGCATGAAGAAATGAAAGAAACAGCAATGCAGATATTAGACACTTAACAAAATGATCTAGAACTGTGATTTTGTACGGCAGGCTAATTTCCAGTGCTATATAACCAGCTCCTTAAGAGACTTAGCACTTAAAGAAAAAAAATATTTTAAAAGCAGCAATGGCCAGAGAACACTGTTAGTATATTAATAGGTAGGGCTAAAATTCCTGAAAGCAAACTGAAAGTAATCATCATTACTTGTGATATAGTCGGTTCAATTAATTTTCCCTTCATTTAGAAAAATATGTCAAGATGCCTAAAGAGATTTTTTAAATCATCTAATCGTGATGTTTTGGAATTAATAACAGATTTAATTTCCAGATATTTTGAAGTGATTCTAGTTGAAATCATGTGGCCTTATACAGTTGAAAAAGTACAGGAAATAAGTGTGATTAATAAATCATCTGTATAAAATATGGGCTTAGAGTAGTTTTGAGCAGGTTATCAAAAGCCTCTGCTAAGAAGCCTCCATATGTAACATACTTTCTAAGAAATGAAAATGTTAACTTAGTCACCTTATTTCCCTGAGATTAGTAATGGTCAATTATAATTTATTTCCATTTCACAACACTTTAAAAAGAGGTGGGTTCAATACCTATATCCAATGTCTTTACTTTCCCATGGAGCATCCTCAGTTATTAGATACTTACCTTGTTTGCAGTGAGAGGTGCAGGTATATACTCACTGTCCCACCACTTCAGAATTGTGCACAAATTTACTGCCTTTTCCCAATGACAGCCCAGTTGTCATTACACACTTCATTCGTAACAATCTTTTCTGCACCAAGTTACACTACATGCACCCTGAGTTCTGCTAGAAATTGTCCAAAGTCCGCCTTACTATAACACAACTGTATCTAATCACATTTATATCCACGTAGCCAGAAAATAAAATCCCCTTCTTGAAACAGCCTTCATACGGGCTCTGAGTCCACAGACTAAAACCAGACTGCCAAGGTTCAAATCTTGAGTCTACCATTTTCTAATTGTTTAACCTTGAATTAGTTACTTAAGTTGCTTGTACTTCAGTTTCCTCGTCTGTAAAATGAGATCAATAATGATACCTACTTAGGGGTTATTTTGAGTTTTAAATGAGTTAGTACATGTAAAACAGACTCCACAGATCAGCAGTTGGGAGGGGTGGGGCTGGGTAGGGGTGTGTGGAGGGATTGAGAAAAAAAAAAAGAGAAAAAACTCATAGACACTGGACAACAGTGTGGTGATTGCCACGGGGGGGGGGAATGGGGAGAGGGAAGAGGTAGAGGCAGGTATAGGGGGGATAAATGTAGTGGAAGGTGACTTGACTTGGGGTGGTGAACACACAATATAGTACACAGATGATTGTGTTGTGGAATTGTGCACCTGAAACCTGTATAATTTTGTTAACTAGTGTCACCCCAATAAATTCTATAAAAGAATATAATAAAGCATCTTATTATAATGCTTGATACATTGAATCAGTCCCATTCAAAAATTATCTATTAATAGCAAAGGCAATAATAAAATGTCTGAATAATGTAATATAATGATAAAAAAAAAACAGGCTCAGCCCGTGTAATCACAGGGATAGGCATTTGAATCTTAGTTGCACTAATTTTAAACCATGTACATACACAGAATACATTCACACCTCTGGTAAGTTACTTAACACCTCTGAAAATAAGTTCCCACATCTATAAAGTAGAAAAAAAGTGCTTTCATTATTAGTTGCCAATGATCATCTTTTCATCTTTGCTTAGAATGTTACCTAGCCAGGGATAGTTCTTCCTTTTTACCATGGAACTTAAATGCTAAACATTCTTCAGTTTCCACTCCTTCCATCAATGTTCCCTGATCAGGGAGCATTGTACTTTCCTAGAGCACTCATTTATTAGTGTATCATTCATTTACTTT